CCCTGCCAGGACCCGGGCTGTGACCCTGCCAGGACCCGGGCTGTGCCCCTGCCAGGACCCGGGCTGTGACCCTGCCAGGACCCGGGCTGTGCCCCTGCCAGGACCCGGGCTGTGACCCTGCCAGGACCCGGGCTGTGCCCCTGCCAGGACCCGGGCTGTGACCCTGCCAGGACCCGGGCTGTGCCCCTGCCAGGACCCGGGCTGTGCCCCTGCCAGGACCCGGGCTGTGACCCTGCCAGGCTGCACAGGACAGCAGGACCCGGGCTGTCCCCCTGCCAGGACCCGGGCTGTCCCCCTGCCAGGACCCGGGCTGTCCCCCTGCCAGGACCCGGGCTGTCCCCCTGCCAGGACCCGGGCTGTCCCCCTGCCAGGACCCGGGCTGTCCCCCTGCCAGGACCCGGGCTGTCCCCCTGCCAGGACCCGGGCTGTCCCCCTGCCAGGACCCGGGCTGTGCCCCCGCCAGGACCCGGGCTGTGCCCCTGCCAGGCTGCACAGGACAGCAGGACCCATGCCACCCAGCCGTCACACGTCCTCGGGGAGCGTTTTGCTGACAATCCCAAGCGTGGATGAAATGCCCTTGCAGTCCCCGAGTGCCCCTTTACCCGGGGTGTGCTGCTGTGATCTGTTTTGCAAACGCTGACCCCAAAGGAACAGCTGACCTTTGCTGCTCTGTGCCTGCTGGCTGCAGAAAACGGCTCAGGACAGAACTGACACAGGTGGGTTTGGGCACCAGGGACCACCCAGAGCTCACAGACAGCTTCTGAGCAATGTTTGATGCCAATGGCTCAAAGCAAAACGGCTCCTGGGAGAGCGCAGGCTGCTCGTGCCAGGACACCCTTTGCAGATAGAATCTGTTTCATTACAGGTTAATATTACTCCCCAGCATCACTGTGGCTTTCAAACACCCTCATAATAAATGGGAGTTAGGAAAGATCTCTTTCCAGATTCTGATCTCCTCCCTGGTGAAGCTGGTATTAAAGATTTTCATTTTCCAAATTACATCTATTCCCATCATAGTCTCAGAGCAGAGGCACAGAGCCTTATCTGCAGCAGCGAGTTATTACACACAAACCTTGAGAAACCAGCACTTGGGAAAACAACTGCACGGACAGAACGGACGAGAACAGCCCAAAATATCTGATTGTCTGCAGGAGAGAGCTTTGTCCAGCTCATCTGTACCCTGCAGTGAGCTGTTACTGCCTCTGGGTAAGCAGGGTCAGGGTCAGGGTCGGGGTCAGGGTCGGGGTTTAGGGTTAGGGTCAGGGTTTAGGGTCAGGGTCAGTGGTTAGGGTTAGAGTTAGAGTCAGGGTTAGGGTTTGGGGTCAGGGTCAGGGTTTAGTGTCAGGGGTTAGGGTCAGGTTTAGGGAATGGCAAATACATCTCTCTGAGGTGAAATACCTGGGCAGTTTGCTCAGGCTCTCATCCTCTCTTTCCAATTTTGACTTTAATACCTGCCCAGCAGTGCACGTGCCAGTGCTGATAAGGGCACACAAAGGGCTCTGGGAGCCTCTGGGCTGGTGTGACACCCCTGCCAGTGCCTGGGGCTCTCACTCCCACCCCTGATCCCAGCTCAGAGGGCAGCCAGGGCACCCCTGGCCGAGCACCAGGGACCCAGGAGAGCAGGGCAAGGACAGGGCTGGTGGGATCTGGGTTTGTACACACCTTCAGGACCTGCTCTAAGTTCTCCAGCTTGGCTTGGAGCTGGTGTTTCCCCCTCACAGCCAAATCTCGCTCCCTGGTCACGCTGAGGAGGGTTTCTCGGAGATGGTCATAGTCTGCTTTTACCTGGAAAACAGAAGAGGGTCACTGCCCAGCCTGCAGAGAGGGCAGGCAGAACTCACCCGGCACACACATCTCTGTGTGCCCAAGTGAAGGGAGAACGGGGTCAGGAAGGGGAAAAGCACCGCACCCCAAGGGAGGGCTCGGGGGGAGCCTGTGCCTGCCCCACACAGAACCTCCCCCAGCAGGGGCTGCAGGCTGCCAGCCAAACTGCAGCCCTGTAAATGAACAAATACACTACCACACACCCAGTGAATGGCAATCGAAACACTCCTGAACTCTCTGCTTCTCGGGGGCCTCTGAGATGGGTGTGCTACACAGAGGCAGAGATCCACAGGAAAGTTCTTTCTCTAATTCAGATCAGCTGCAAATTTGATTTCTTAGCCCTGATCACTTTATGAGTTTGAGATCTGAGGCATGACAGGATTATTACAGCTTGTATCATACCAGAAACTGCTTCTTTTTTGTGGAGAAAGAATCAAGCAGGAACAAACACCTGGGTAAATTCCCCAATATTATTTTCACATGCATTGCCACTTTTGTGCAGTGTTTGCAGCAGGTAAGGAAGCAGCAACACTTCTGTTTTGTTTGGTTTGTTTTGTTTGTTTTTACTTTGGTTTTGTTTGCTTGGTTTGGGGTTTGTTTTTTTATTTGTTTGCCATTTTCTAATGCAATGTTTTGAAAGCTGATTCAGGCTCTTTATTTGCCTTCTGGCTGCAGTTTGCCATGGACCAGACCATGAGAATGGCTGCACCCAGCCCTGCAGAAGGGCTCTTGGGAGAGCAGTGGGCTGGAAAAAAGAGAGGAAAATGGAACAAATCACGTTTTCCATGAGATCTGATGCAATTATTGCCAACCTCAGGATTTTTTTTCAGTGCAGGGATTTTCCTTTTCCCTTCCTCCCAGTTCTTCATGACACAGGAAACTCTCAAACCAAGGATTTTCAAAACCATGAACTCCTGGATCCTTTGAATGGCACAGCATTTCCAGGTCAGTCAGGTATTGCTGAGGATAACGGGGAGGGAAAAGGGAGCAGGGAGGCTGTTCTGTGAGAGCAGCAGTGCCAACACCCAGAACTGCTGCTCCGTGCCTTCCACAGTATTTCATGGGTCTGTACCCACAGCATGGTAAATTCTGGCAACAGCAAGAGGGAATTCTGCTCCTGACTCATGGCCAGCGTGACAAATGCTGAGCTCTGTATCTTAAATTGGTTTTAGCAGGCTTTTCCAGTGTACCTCCAGACAAAGATTACCTGCAATAAAGCACTGTCAGCCCTGCAGGCTGTGCCCTTGCTGGTGGCCAGAGGAGTCACATCTGCAGTGTCACCCAAGGCTGAGCCCCCATGGCATTAGTGATGCACATCACTGTGTGCCAGCTGGAATACAGAACTGCCCAAGGGAGACTTCATGTGCCTCGTGAGGCAAAGAGCAAAGGTGGTGTGCAAACAGCAATAAAGAGAAACACATCAGGAGAGGGGAAATTCACAGGCAGATGGACGATAAAACTGACGATGCTGTGACACACACAGCTGCCTGCTCTCACCGTGCCCCAGCCCTGCCTTTCTGCACTAAACCACTCTCCATCAGCACAGGAGAAGCTCTGCTCCCCCAGCAGGGGCTGAGCTCTGCATCCTGCAGTGGCAGCGCCAGGAGCCCCTCAGCCTCTGCCCAGGAGCCCAGCAGTGCTGAAAAACAACAACACAAATCTCCCAGGAGCCCAGCCTCACCAGAGCTGGGAGGAGAGAGACTCCACTGCAGGAAACAAAGCAGGGCAGGGTCCAGAAGGCACCCTGAGGGCAAGGGCCAGCAGCTGGAATGCACACACCTCTGTATTCACTCTGCATCCACACACACCTCTGTACTGACACACAGCTCTGCATTCACACACCTCTGAATGCACACACAGCTCTGTATCTACACACATCTGTATTCACACACATCTGCATTCACACACAGCTCTGTATGCACACACCTCTGCATGCACACACAGCTCTGCCCTCCAGTGCACGTTCATCACTCAGTGTGGCAGAGTCCTGGAGGACAGATGTTCAGCCAGAGGTGAGGAACCTGGACTGAAGATCAAGCTCCTAACTGCAGCCTCAGGAATGTATTTTTATCTATTCAGACAGCAGTGTAAGCTTGCAACACAGCAAAAGTAAAAACCCTGCCGTGGATGTGAGGACTGAGTAGGAACCTGCCAGCAGGAGGATGGCTTTGGTGGATTTAATACAAGCTGACAGCACTGTCTGGGTAACAAGGCTCCACACTGCCTGCAGAAAGGCATCTGTTGCCCTGTGTGCTAGCTTGCTCATCCATCAATTATTTGTGTTTTAAAAGATCTTGTACCCTATTCATTTCTTTGCAGCTCTGTTTCTTGGAGGATCCTTGCTGCCAGTAACGTGGAAGGGCTGCCCTGGAGCTCCTGACTCTCATTCCTGTGACAGCCCTGGTTTGGATGGTGCAGGACAGAATCCCCCCAGCAGCAAGGGAAACCTGGGGGCTGCAGGGGCCTAAAAGGGAAATCAAGACTCTTCTGATCTTTTCTCCTGCATCTTGGCCCTGTAAGTGACTCACTCCAAAGGTCAGGTCCATCACCTCCAGTTCATTTTTTGTTTTCTCCAAGAGCTGGATTTGAAAGGCAAAGCTGACTCACCTTCAGGGGTGCAAGGGCAGCCCCTGCCCTGGCCCAGAGCTGGGGCACAGCCTGCCCAAAAAACTGCCCTAAAACCCCTGGGGGGAAAAAAAAAAAAAAACACAACAAACCCAAAAAACTGCCCTAAAACCCCTGGGGAAAAAAAACTGCCCAGGCTGTGCCACCCTCCTGTCTGTCTGTCTGTCTGTCCCTGCCCAGGCTGTGCCACCCTCCTGTCTGTCTGTCCCTGCCCTGTCTGTCTGTCTCTGCCTGCCACAGCTCCCCAGGCAGAGAGCTGCACTCACAATAAATGACATTTCACGGAGCACTGTTACATACAATGAAAAGTAAACAAACAAGACAGCCTTACTGTTTTTAGGTGTTTTACTATCTCCATCTGATCCTTCCTCTCACTTGCCATGGGGAAGCACATGGTAGCAAGCAGCACAGGAAAGCAGTTGGACATTTTCTGGTGTCAACACCTAAAAGCTAATGAATTCCTGCAGCGAAACTAACAACGTGAGTGCTTTCCACTAGCACTTTTAGGTAAAGGGAGAGCTGCTCAGAAAGGCTTGCATTTGAAATAAAATCACTTCACAATTGGATTTGCTTCCTTTTAAAAATAGGAACTTTTCCGTGCAAATTATGCTGTTCTAACAAAGGAAAACAAATGCAGCTTTACCCCTCTAATCAGCAGGCTGAATTTAGCACAAGGAACGCCACACCGAAATAGCAGTTCTTAACCAGCCCTGCCAAACAGGGCCACAGGAACTGTGTTTGGTGGCCCTGGACAGCAGCAGTGCCTGGCACTGGGCAGCTGGGAGCAGGGCTGGGGAGGAAACAGCAATTCCCTCCTGCCACCTTCATTTCTGAAGGTTTTCTAAGCCTTCTGATGTTTGCATTCCTGTAGCAAACTTTCTCACACACTTTCTGTAAACAATTTATTGCTTTGCGTTCTTTTATGGAGGAAGAAAAACTTGATAAGCTGTTGGTTTGCCACTCACAGCTGCCCAGCACTGCGCCCACCTCGGTCTGGTCACCTTTTCTCACCTTTCACCTGTTTCTCACCTCTCTTACTCTCCAGTTTTTCACTTCTCCATCTAAGTTTGCTTCACCCTGGCACACAGTATAACACGGCAGCATCCTCTGCACTCTGTCAGAACTGGAGGTGGGTGAAGGGATAACTCCAGACACACCCAAGTGCAGCGGGGCCAGGGCAGCACGCACAGCAGCAAGCTCCAGCACTGCTCCAGCTGCAGCTCCGGGCCAGGCAGCACCTCCGGGCTCTGCAGCTGCCACGGCTGGAGGAGCTGCTGCCAGTCTCACCAAGTTAACCACGGGTTTGTGGGCTGCAGCAAAAGCAGCATTTCTTTCAGTCGTTTTTACACTCACTTCTCAGCACGTTCAAATAATCTAGCTCTGCTAGGACAGCACCGAGCTCTGCTAGGACAGCACCTCTGGGCTCTGCAGCTGCCACGGCTGGAGGAGCTGCTGCCAGTCTCACCAAGCTAACCACGGGTCTGTGGGCTGCAGCAAAAGCAGCATTTCTTCCAGTCGTTTTTACACTCCTCAGCACGTACAAATAATCCGTGTACCTGAAGTACAGAGGGTGTAATTCTCCTTCACCATGGCACAGTCCTACCTCCTTCAGGGACAAATTACACCCCAGGGAAAGAACAATGACCCGCTGCTGAGGAGAAAGGAATGCACCACGTCCCTGCTCCTGTGGGAAGGCACAGAGGCAGCCCAGCGGGGCTCAAACATGAACTGCTCCTGCAAGCTGGTCTGAAGGGGATATTCCCCAGTGTCCCCTGAACAAGCAGTCTCTTTTCACCTCACCATCATCCCATACATCTTTTGTTTCACAGCTCCAGTTGGCAGGAAATGGATTTTTCACCTTGAGCCCAAAGGATGAGCTAAGGATCCGATTCAGTTCTGCAGGTCAACCCAAAGAGTGCACCAAGTATTCTGAAATCATTCAAATGCAGAGTGTGCTTTAGAGGTTCCTGCACACGCAGGAGCTTCCCCTGACACCTGGTGAGAGCTCACTGGAAACCTCCCACCCACATTCTGCACTCACTGCAGCCTCTCCGGGGGCACAACAAAAACCCCAGCTGAAAAGCACCAGCAGAACTGTTCTGATCACTGCAGAGCTGCAGGGACAGGCTGCAGCAGCAGCACCCTGGGGCAGTCACCTGCAGGGCTCTGGGCTCCATCTGGGGATGTCCCCAAAGGTCCCCTGAGCCCGGGTCCCTCTCTGCTCCCCCAGCCCAGCCCAGTTCAGTCCAGCCCAGCCCAGTCTCCCCAGCCCAGCCCAGCCCAGCTCCCATCCCTCCGTCCCCACGCTGCTCCCCACAACAGCACCCATCCCCCGG